GGTATGCGCGGCAAAAATTTTGCGACTAAAAGTAATCGTTATGCGGAAAAAAATCGCTATGTGATTGCCATCGTTATGCGGGGGTCCACTGTATATTATTTGTATCTATTTCGCCTGTATTGAGGGAATACAGATCAAGGGTCCTTCAACCGTTCCCTGTAGTTTAGGTGCCCTTATTGTACTTTTGTGTGCATGAAAGTTCGTTGTACATCTCCACGTCTGCAATGTTGCGCCTTGAAAACGGGCCTTTAGGTGGTACAGCTGTATTCACAGCCTAGAGAGCACAAAGGCGTTTGAAGGAGGAATCATCATGGGCTTGGCGTCCCTAGTTTTGAAGGTTCTCATTATCCATCCTGTCACTGTCCTAGTGGATGAGGTAGATACATTGTTGTGGTTTTTGAGCGAGATCCTCTGACATTATCACTCCCAGGACCTTCACATTACTCTTCCGCTCTACTGTATGGTTAGAATTTGTCGTATACCCTGAAACATTTTTAATTTCTTCAAGTTTCCCATATCTGAGTAGTTGAAATTTCTCCTCGTTGAACTCCATATTGTTCTGAGTGGCCCATTCAAAGATTTGGTTGATGTCCGCTTGGAGTCTCGTGGTGTCTTTGATGGAGGTTACTGCCATGGTAATCCGGGTGTCATCCGCAAAGGATGACTTACATCTCTATGTCAGAAATGAGGATGAGGAATAGAATGGGAGCAAGTACTGTGCCTTGTGGAATAGAGTTTTTTTTACCATGGCTGCCTGGGATTTTATTCTGTTTAATATTACTCTTTGTGTTCTATTTGTTAGGAAGCTGTAGATCCATCTACCAACTTTTCCCGTTATTCCTTTATCGCGCATTTCGTGTGCTATTACACCATGGTCACACTTGCCGATAGCTTTTGTAAAGTCTGTGTATACATCTGTATTTTGTTTATCCTCTACAGCATCCAGGACCTTGTCATAGTGGTCCAGTAGCTGGGACAGGCAGGAGCAACCTGCTCTAAACCTGTGTTGCCATGGGCTTGTGTAAACTGTGGGTTATCTAGGTGGTTGGAGCAATCTTGCTTCTTAGAACCCTCTCTAAAATCTTTTTTATATGGGATGTTAGTGCTATTGGTCTGTAGTTATTTTCTTTGACTCTTGCTATACTGATTAACTTTGTGGAGTGGGGGATGTCTGTTGTTTTTGTGTGTGTGGCGATATGACCCTGTGTCCATGCTCCCTCTCCATAAATGCTGAAGGAACAAGATAGGGATTAGGGGCTTTTGCAATTCTTGATAAACAGGTTCCACAAAGTCTAGGCCTGGGCGCCGAGTGTATGGGTATGTCATTAAATTGCCTTTCAATCTTTGTGGAAGTAGTATGTCACTGTGTCCAGCTAGGCCTGTATACCTTGCTACATGTACGTGTAGTAAATAAAGATATTATTATTATTTTCTCAGTTTGTTTGTTGGGTTTTATCTTACTCAAATTGGGCAATGTATGATGGAAAGATACTTCTTAACATATACAAAATGTAAAGAATCAGACCATAAATAGTGGAGAGTTCACTTCTCAGCCATTAGCGGCCGCTTAGCTGTATATTTTTGTATGTTTTTTTTGGTTATATTCTCATTTTGTCAAGTCTCATTTGATAGCAATGAAAGATTTATTTACAGAAATAGATATGATTTTGATTGCTTTCAATGCGGAAATGTAACCTTGAATTGCGCTCACTGTAGCAAAAATGTTCTATTCTTTAGCGAAGCTCAAGAGTAAAACAAATGACATACCGTCTATACCTGTCCGCCTGCCAGTCCAATACCACAGTCAAGAATGGGTGACATTATGTATACAAATTATTACAATAATGCTGCAGTCTGCATAACAGTATAATCTATTTTTTTGTGAATAAAATTCCAAAATGGCAAGCATGAGTAATATAAGAGGGGGCCCTGTAGCGGTGGACTAATGACAGAGGAAATATGATATTTTAGTGCCACGAATTGACCTGCATTGTTTATTCTTGTCCTATTTTGAAAATTGGCCATTCTGTGAAAATTTGGTGGAATCGGCCAAACTGCCAATTTCTGGCCTCTTATTGGGTAGTTGAAATAGTGAATGGGGCGTTTATTGTACTCAGTTGAAGACTAGCAAAGCAAATAAGTTTAATCAGGTTACACAAATACAGTTAATTGACATCTACATCACAGTGTATGTATATAAGAAACCTGGGATAACCCAGAAAAGTCACGGAACAAAGTGACTTATTTTCCAGTACCTGGCTTGGGCTTGCCATATTTGATTTTTGGTAAATATTTTTTTTTTCTTGGATTTGTGTAGGCTATCTCATTGAAACATGGGCAATGTATGAATGGAAAAGTGCTTCTTAATGTACAAAAAAAATAAAAAAGAAAGCATAAATAAGGGAGTTTCACTTCTCAGCATTGCCGTCTTACAGTATATTTTCGATATGGTTTTTAGGGTTGTATCTCATTTTTGGACTCATTTGATAGAAATGGAAGATATATTACCATAAATTACATGATTTTGATTGCTTTCATGACGGAGATGTACTGAAATTGAGCTCAAGTAGCAGGAAATGTTCGATTTTTTTGCGATGTTCAATGAACTTTGTGTTAAGTCAAGTTGCGTTAATTTTATTAAAGAGTGTATTCTAACCTGAACTACTCTGTATCTGGCAAATCAGTAGTAATCCAGCACCACTACAGGTACATGATGCAGATTTGTGCTGGAGGACACATGTTAGATGTTTGGGGAAGGAGTTTGGAAGATTTTCCAGACATTGGTCAATTTTTTCAAGATGTACTGGATTTTGGGAGTTGCATCTGGAGGTTGTATACTACCACAATGACAATGTTTTGGTTTCATGCTTTACCGCCAAACTTCAACTTTAATCACTTGAGGTGTTTAGTAGCTCTGTAGCAAATGAGCGACTCTCTGTGAATACAGGCTCAACCACCCTTTGTTGCCTGTTTATAGTCTGTCGTATCGGAATAGGGTTATAACCTGGGATCATATTTCGTTGTTGTTTTAATGATTCCTTTATGAGGCGTCTCTGTGAATGATGCTAAACTTTGCATTTGACTCCGTGAGGCAGTCCCTTGATGTAGGAATTTTATTGTTTCTTTGACAGCTTTTTGCCCTGTATGTTTGCAAAGAAATATGTCAGATTGTATTAGTGGAATATAAGGGGGTTTTTTTGCTGGCTTTAATATCTGTTGTTCTGGAATAGAGGTCAATGTCCGTGCCTATTTTATTCATCTTCTAAAGTTTATATCATGCTTCTCTGTTACTTTACGTATATTGTTTTATCATGTAATATTAGATGAATTTTTGATAGAAAAATAAGCCGTTTTAGAGCTCGATATTAGTTATACTGAAAATATTTTGTCCTGATGCTGGGGTGGATTAATGGCATTCAATTAATTTAAAAAGAGGAAAATTGATCTGAATAATCATGCAAATTGAAGTCAGTAACGAAGCTAGGTCACAAAACAGATTTAAACTCTTAAGTCACGGTTCCACTCGTATGTCATTTTGCCCTATTTCATATCTTATATACTATTTATCTGCTTTTTCTTTAACCTTTTCTGGGTCCCCAGGCCTTTCAGCCTTGTCCTCAGGGTCGCCACAAACTACAAAAAAAACAAAAAAAAAAAAAAAAAAAAAATCTAATGAAAAGAAAAGAAATCTTTCCCAATCATAATGAACCAAAAGTTGATTTGATGGAAAACTTACGGATTCATGCTCGGCGTAGTTAGCGGTTCTCGGCGATGTTTACGCATCGGCGATTTTGCCCACTTTGAGCTTAATTTTCGGCCAAATTCCATGTTGTTGTCGACCAAAAATCATAAACTATTTAACTAGACTCCATTTTTTCTTCGTATGAGGTACAAGAAACCACACATTTACTGATTTCAACTATCCAATCAGTGGTCAGAATTTAGCAATTGTGCCAATTTCACACCAATTTTCAAAAGATGCCAATTGCAAAATAGGATCCGAATAAACAAGATAGACATTCCATGGCAACTAAATATCATTTCCTCTGTTCATTAGTCACATCCCCCACCCTCTTACAAGTTTTTTGCTTTCCACTTTGAACTTTTATTCTAACAAAAACATTGAAGTTTACTGTTATGCAGACTACTGCATTAGTGTAGAATGGATATAAATTATATAGTGCATTGTGAAGAAATATTAGACTCACAAGTGTCGTGTATTGGGACGCTTAGCATGATTTGTTTACTTTAGAACTTTGATAAAATCGGAACATTTATGATACTTTGAGCTCAATTTCAACGTTCTTTTCTTGGCAAATCAGTCAATATAATTCTCCAATTTCTGTAATATGTCTTCATTCTATAAATTGGGACCAGAAAAACTAGAATACAACAATAAACACCTTACGAAAATACAGTGCAAAGTCGCTGTTTTAATCCAAAAACACGGTCAAAGTTTTTTTTTTCTCATTACGCACTGTGTGCTGCAGGATTTTTTTTAAACTGTACACACTGACCACATAGACCCATTCTTTCATATGTAGGCCTACCAGCTTTCTCTCACTAGATTTGAGGGTGCTAGAATTTAGGCGTACTAGTACGTCAAAAACCTTGGTGCATAAACCGTATTAGTACATCCAAAACCCTGAAAGGGTTAGAAGATGTGTTACCTATAACCAAACCCCTTTCTACACAAAGTTCAATCAATGTTCCCCATTATCATTTACACCTGGCACCCCAAACTTACCTACCACACCCTCTCTACATGCTTCTCCTACTTTAGCATTTAGGTCCCCTACCACAAATACTCTCTAATTTGTTTCAAAAGTTCCTACACAGTCACTTAACATCTCCCAAAATTTCTCTCTCTCATCTACACTCCTCTCTTCTCCAGGTGCATACACACTTATTATGACCCAATTTTCACATCTGACCCTTATTTTAATCCACATAATCCTTGAATTTATACATTTATACACTCAGTATAATTATTATCTTACCTTCCACGAGACGCCAGCATTTTGTTGCCTTGATCCATACACTGAGAAGCAAGAAACATATGCATTATTTACTATAATTATTATTAAGAAATTAGTATATTAAAATAAAGCAATAGGATACAATGGAAGGGAAAGGAGCTAAGATGCAAGGAGTGATCCACCAGCAAATGAGAATATAAAAAATCCTTTTTTAAACCCTTAGCTGTAACCTGAGGGGACCCTACCATCTCTTTTCAATGGACATTTACCAACTTAAAAGTGAAGATATTGTGGTCTTTAAGCCTATTTACAGGTTGGCAAAAATTTTACTTCCTGAATGTTTATTTTATAGTACTTAGGATATCTAAACTGTCATATATGAGTGCCTCTGCAAGGACAGTGATTATGCATGAGTGATGGTGACAGTGTTGAATGATGATGAAAATTTTTTCTTACTTTTCGGGGTCACCCTACCTCAGTGGGAAATGGCCAATGTGTTATATAAAAAAAAAAGGGTGGTGTGAATAAAGCAAAAGAGGAAACTGTCAAGAGTGTTAGGAGCAAGATGAGTTGACCAAGAGAGTGAATAACTCTCTGGTTATAAATAATAAATAAATATATAAATTTTTATTTCTTTGCAAAGCTTACAATGTGTGGTTTACATATTATAAAATTTTAATTATAAGGAATGCCTCTAGCATGCCTAGGTATTTCAGGCAGACTAATCCTAATTCTTACTCTAAACTGACACAGGTTATGAAGCAGTGCATTTTAATATAGTATCTTACTGCATACTAGGTAACTGAAGAAATGAATTAGATTTATAATAATGAGGAAGTACAAAACATATAACAAAATTAAAATTAGTAAATTTAGGGACGGGAATGATAATTCTTGGCATGATACATTGTTCCTATTGAAGCTCCTATAATGGGAGAGTTTCTTAGGCAACTTAGGCAATAGTTATACAGTGGACCCCCACCTTACGATCAGCTCCCGACTCGACCAATTACGTAAGTGTATTTTTGTAAATACTTTTGTACGTGTATTTTTGGTGGTCTGAAACGGACTAATTTAATTCACAATATTCCTTATGGGAACAAATTTAGTCGGTAACGGCACCTGAACAGACTTCTGGTATGAAATAATATCGTAAGGCGGGGGTCCATTGTATTAGGAATTTTATGTTTACAGTCATTTGGGTGAGTGTAAGTGTAAATTAGGGGGAATCACAGATATTGAGAGTAAGTCTATTTTGTTTTGGATGTGTGCATGATACGAATAAGAGATTGATGGAAGGATGAAGAGGATGTCCCAGGGAAAAGTTAGGGTATGAAGGAAGTTAGAATAGTAAGGACTTCGGTATCCAACAGACGTGTGTGAGTGTTACAGAAGATTTGAGACAAGTAGTTATTGAGATTTTGTGTGGTATTGAAATCTGAGCAAGGTAGGGTCAATGCCCTCATGACCTGGTCTATGACCAGACCTGCACAGCTTCAGTTTTAGGGTTGGTTGAGATGTTACAGTCAGGAACATCATTTAAACAGTGATGTCTGTGCACTACTTGAGAGACAGCTACAGAAAACGTGATGGTGAATGCTTTTTCTAAGGGTTACCCTACTTTGTTGGAAAAAGCGAATGCAAGAAAAGTAAATATGACTTACTATGAAGAATCAGGCCTGTGTTTGGCCTGAACTTTAATTTTTTTTGAAGGGGGCTACTCGATTCATCGTACTCAGTAAAAATTCTTTTCCCCTTCCTGCCTGTAGAAAAATAATTAAAAACACTGCATAACTTATTAATCTTCAAACACAAATTAATCTTCAATATAAATGCTGGATGAAAAAGGCACACAAAACAGCATAAGCCTTAATAATAATGTTGGTTGGGATCTTTATTAAACTAATCTGATAAAGCTTCTTGAACATAAGAACTGAGGAAGACTGTAGCAGACCTACTGGCCCAAACAAGACAAAAACAATATCACAATAGAGGCTTATGTTTTGTGTGTGCCTTTCTCATCCACTTGTCTGCTCACAGCCTCCTCTTCCTATATATAAATGCTATAAAAGTAAATAGGTAGTAGGTTGGTAGACAGCAACCACCCAGGGAGGTACTACCGTCCTGCTAAGTGAGTGTAAAATGAAAGCCAGTAATTGTTTTACATGATGGTAGGATTGCTGGTGTCTTTTGTCTGTCTCATAAATATGCAAGATTACAGGAACGTCTTGCTACTTCAACTTACACTTAGGTCACACTACACATACATGTACACATTTATTTATACACACTCATCTGAGTTTGATTTTATCTTAATAGTTCTTGGTCTTATTACTTTTTCTTTTATATCCATGGGGAAGTGGAATAGGAATCTTTCCTCAGTAAGCCATGCGTGTTGTAAGAGTCAACTAAAATGCCAGGAACAATGGGCTAGTAACCCCATTTCCTGTAAAGATTACTAAAAAGAATAAGAAGAAGAAAACTGTCAAAGTGGGAAGTCTGAATGTGCGTGGATGTTGTGCAAATGATAAGAAAGAGACGATTATGGATGTTATGATTGAGAAGAAGCTGGATGTCCTGGGGGTGGGAGTGTTTCAGTGGAGAGGAATAAATGGGATTAGGTCAGGGGTTTCAAATAGAGTTAGAGCTAAAGAATGAGTAGCAATAATGTTGAAGAATAAGCTATGGCAGGAAAAGAGGGACTATAAATGTATTAATTCAAGGATTATGTGGAGTAAAATAAAGGTTGGATGTGAAAAGTGGGTTATAGCAAGCGTATATGCACCTGGAGAAGAGAGAAGTGTAGAGGAGAGACAGAGAGATTTTGGGAAATGTTGAGTGAATGCGTGGGGAGATTTGAACCATATGTGAGAGTACTTGTGGTTGGGGATTTCAATGCTGAAGTGGGTAAAAATGTTATGGAGGGAGTAGTAGGTAAATTTGGGGTGCCAGGGGTAAATGTAAATGGGGAGCCTTTAACTGAGCTATGTGTAGAAAGAGATTTGGTAATGAGTAATAGATATTTTATGAAAAAGAGGATAAATAAATATGCAAGGTATGAAGTAGCACGTAATGAAAGTAGTTTGTTAGATATTGTATTGGTGGATAAAAGGATGATGGGTAGGCTCCAGGATGTACATGTTTATAGAGGGGCAACTGATATATTGGATCATTATTTAGTTGTAGCTACAGTTTGAGTAAGAGGTAGATGGGACAAGAGGAAGGTGGCAACAACAAGTAAGAGGGAGGTGAAAATGTATAAACTAAGGGAGGAGGAAGTTTGGGTGAGATATAAGCGACTATTGGAAGAAAGGTGGGCTAGTGCAAAGATGAGTAGTGGGGGGGGAGGGCAGTGAAGAGAGTTGGAATAGTTTTAAAAATGCAGTACTAGAATGTGGGGCAGAAGTTTGTGGTTACAGGAGGGTGAGGGCAGGAGGAAAGAGGAGTGATGGGTGGAATGATGAAGTAAAGGGTGTGATAAAAAAGAAAAAGTTAGCTTATGAGAGATTTTTACAAAGCAGAAGTGTTATAAGAAGAGCAGAGTATATGGAGAGTAAAAGAAAGGTGAAGAGAGTGGTGAGAGAGTGCAAAGGGAGAGCAGATGATAGAGTGGGAGAGGCACTGTCAAGAAATTTTAATGAAAATAAGAAATTTTGGAGTGAGTTAAACAAGTTAAGAAAGCCTAGGGAACGTATGGATTTGTCAGTTAAAAACAGAGTAGGGGAGTTAGTAGATGGGGAGATGGAGGTATTAGGTAGATGGCGAGAATATTTTGAGAAACTTTTAAATGTTGAGGAAGAAAGGGAGGCAGTAATTTCATGCACTGGCCAGGGAGGTATACCATCTTTTAGGGGTGAAGAAGAGCAGAATGTAAGTGTGGGGGAGGTACGTGAGGCATTACGTGGAATGAAAGGGGGTAAAGCAGCTGGAACTGATGGGATCATGACAGAAATGTTAAAAGCAGGGGGACACATAGGGTTGGAGTGGTTGGTACTACTTTTGTTTAATAAATGTATGAAAGAAGGGAAGGTACCTAGGGATTGGTGGAGAGCATGTATAGTCCCTTTATATTAAAGGGAAGGGGGACAAAAGAGATTGTAAAAATTATAGAGGAATAAGTTTACTGAGTATACCAGGAAAAGTGTACGGTAGGGTTATAATTGAAAGAATTAGAGGTAAAACAGAATGTAGGATTGCGGATGAGCAAGGAGGTTTCAGAGTGGGTAGGGGATGAATAGAACAAGTGTTTACATTGAAGCATATATGTCAACAGTATTTAGATAAAGGTAGGGAAGTTTTTATTGCATTTATGGATTTAGAAAAGGCATATGATAGAGTGGATAGAGGAGCAATGTGGCAGATGTTGCAAGTATATGGAATAGGTGGTAGGTTATTAAATGCTGTAAAGAGTTTTTATGAGGATAGTGAGGTTCACGTTAGGGTGTGTAGAAGAGAGGGAGACTACTTCCCGGTAAAAGTAGGTCTTAGACAGGGATGTGTAATGTCACCATGGTTGTTTAATATATTTATAGATGGGGTTGTAAAGGAAGTAAATGCTAGTGTTCGGGAGAGGGGTGGGATTAAATTATGGGGAATCAAACACAAAATGGGAATTGACACAGTTACTTTTTGCTGATGATACTGTAGGTAGCAGGTTGGTAGACAGCAACCACCCAGGGAAGTACTACCGTCCTGCCAGATGACTGTGAAACAGAAACCTGTAACTGTTTTATATGATGGTAGGATTGCTGGTGTCTCTTTCTGTCTTATAAACATGCTAGATAACAAGGATATCTTGCTATTCCTACTGACACTTTGGTCACACTTCACAGACATGCACATGCACATGCACAAATATATATATATATATATAATATATATATATATTATATATATATATATAATATATATATATATATTATTTAATATAAAAATTAG